CCAACGCGAATGTCGACGTCGACGTCGACGACGACAGCGATTGGCGGAGTACACTGTCACTGTCGTCGGTCACCTCGCGACCTCGTCTCGTCATCGAAAGAAGCTCGGATCAGTCGAACAGCATGGACCGAAGCATGACGGTCTGCATGGGTCGGCAGAAGACCATCTCGCCGAATTCGAGGCAGACCGACCCCGGCCGAGACGAGACTGTCGCCGCTCTGTTGGACTCCATGCTTCGGCCCAGCAACGGACATGCATAACGCCTCGAGTCGAGTCGACGCGTTGCCAAGCAGCCGCCAAACACACCGACCTATCGCACCATCGTCCGAACATGTGTCTTCTGCTCAGGCGTCAATTGTCTCATTTGTCAATGAACGTCGCGACGCATACTCTTCGACAATTACCCATCCTGACAGTGGTTTTATTTCGCGACATTTTACCGAATGCTTTTTGTACATTCCTTACGCCTGCCACGACGCATTCAGATTACCCCCAGCACTAACACACTTACACAATTAGTACATGAGAGACAACATGCCGTCACCTCCTTCCGACGGGTCGAGGTCCAGACCACAGGCAGACAGACCCTCGGGAATGGCTAGGCCCATTGAAGCAAATTTCTGTCCATCTCTCTTTTTTGCCTCACTTGTACATAACAATCTGCCGCCAGAATCTGTCAATGTGCACTTTGACTCTACTTTTCCCTCATTTCACACTATCCAAACACACACACAAAGGCATACGCACATCTACACGAACGTGGATCCCAACTTTTCGCAAAGTCCCCTTCCAAACTTCGGCTTACTTCAAGCCGACTTCACATGTGGATCGTACCGGAACCGCATCATAATCCTCCTCCATTATTCACTCGGTGTACATGAAGTCTTGATTGGCTCATTTGATTTGTGAGTCTGATCGAAAGCTGGTGATTTGGCTTTCCGTTCAGCCTCACTCTCCAAAACAGTATTATGCGCACACTTACAATGTGGATTGGTCTACCTGAAAGCTGTCAAACATTGCCTCAACTCGTCACTTTTATCCATTTCTGTATCCTCCTTTTAGCATCAAGTCCTTTCATTTATCGCTGATGTCACCTTTTTCGTAACCTTTTCTCACTTGGTCCCTTAAAAATTCGTGCTTTTTACACAATTCGCACATTTTGCCGCCTCTATTGGTTGCAGCATCTCCTCTGCTTTCATTATTGAATTGCTCTCGCAAACACATGTTGCCTACAGCCATGACTAAGGCGGCTAGAAGAACTTTGATTATCCTCCTTCATTTGCCATTGCCGTGGAGGATCTGTTGAAATAAATCAGTTTTGCTATCAACACCTACATTTTGGTATGCATGTGACCCTGTAGCGATGGAGAAAGAGTAGTAGATAAAACGGCATCAATAAGCACAAGTGTCGTCCACACGCGAATAGTTTGGCTTTCTCATTTTTAGATGTATTCACCCTATTCCGTGTAAGATGATGAAGGACTGGTAGTAGAATTTTCCCACAATCATATGATTTGAGCTGACGTTTTCCCTTGAATTTCACATAGCCTTGCTTTCCCCAAAGTTGTTCTCATCCTGGCTGGAGGCGGCTGCAGTTTCGACCTCGCATTGGTCTTATCAACACCCTCCGCGGGAGTCGAACCGCGACAGTGCAGGACG